CAAAAAAAGCCCGGGAAAACACAAATTAGCACAAACTGTTTATTTAGCATTATCTGTAACTATTAAAAAAAATGTCTTTAACCCGTTTATATTCTCGTTCCAAAAAAGTCAATGTATTATATATAGAGTACATCACCCATTCAATATATGTATGGTTCAATACTGGTTTGTTGTTTGTCGTGTAATGCTACGCTGTTGTGCAATTTAAGAAATTTGATATAATCGTTTAGAAACAAGATTTTTTGATTATTGATTCTCTTTTCTTCACCTTAGGTTTTGAGAAACTCCAAATTTAATTACATGCGTGTGGAGTGAATGCGAAATTGCGGATCAAAATTAAAAAGTCACAGAGATCGGAGAAATAACCATAACAATTTCTGACATTTTTTATGTATTTCAAACTTTGATTCAAACTTTATATTAATTGAATACATGTAGTGACGATTCTTAGTATTTATTACCTAATTATTAACGCGGAATCTTTTCTACACGCGCATATTCACACCATTATTATGTGCATCGCGCCAATGATTCAGCCTTGAAAATATTAATAAAGTATTAAATTACCCGAAAAAGAAGTTAATCGTCTATTGTCCCGCTTTATATTTGAATAATGAATTGGTTTATTATTTAATGTCTATCATTTCTGCTTAAAATTTCCCATGGATGAGTTGATTATTATTCAGAAACGCGTATAATGTATGGTTAAATTTACACACACACACGCAACACATCCGTCCGATCATACCTTGTACAAGCGCATACGCACATAGCACAGTCTTTAGGTGACATTGAAACACATTCATACAAAAATAGAATCTTTAGGTGTGTATTTGTTTGGTCATCCATTTAACGAAAAAAAAAATCTTCCGAAAATCCCAGAGCGAGAGGGATTTTGTTTAAAATGGGCTAATTATCCGGTTGAGGAAAGAGAAACTCCTAATATGGAAAAATGGAGAGTGGAGTACTATACTACGTGCATTAAAAGAAAGGATACAGTGAACCTATTGTTTATATTTTATCGTTTTGTCATCGTTGTTTCGATTGTGCATCATCAGGCAGCAGCCCCGTTTTTTTATCTTTCTTTCTCTTTCTAACTTGAATTAATAATTGCGTCTGGTTTTTTTCAATGCGTGCTATTGTTGCTGTCAATTTTCCAGTTTGCATTTCAAAACAAAAAAAACTCTCTCACGGGGTTACATCTTATTCACTGCTAAATGACTTTATTAACAGGTAATAATGTATTTCCTATTATTATATTTTTTTTACTATTTTACGTTTTAATATTATTCGACCTTTATTTTACTTATTTATTTATTTATTTATTTGTTTGTTATTCGACTGATTGAGTAACGGTAATGGTAAAGAGAAAAAACCTGATACCCATTGTTTTACCATTTACTATTTATGTGTTGTCAAAAAATTGTAACAATACACAACATTCAACTTTAACTGAAAATTTTTTTATTAGCCTAAAATAAATTGGAAGACAATGGAGTAATAGACAATCAGAAAATTCTGGCAAATAGGATATTGTTGGTGTTTGATTAATGTAGATTATTTATATATTAATAATAATAAATCAATTTATACATTAGCATTAATAATTAAAATTTATACACATATTGCATTAATCAAATAAAGCTTATTCTTTGAAATCCAATAATCACCTCATCTTGTTTAGCAAGTGATATTTTTCTGGTCCGAGAGAAAAAAAGATGTTGAAAATTTTGCATAAATGAAAATTTTCACAAAGATATTTAATGACAAATTAGTCGACTTGCAGCTGGAGAGAAAGCGTTTTATTCATTATTATCTTTATGATCGTCCTATTTTACATACGCATACATGTAGCTACTATGGCGACAAGATGCTGATTGTTTTTTAATTAGTTCATCATCACCATCCACATCATCATTAGTTTCGACATGTTAAATTTTATTATCTCGGTATCAGTCCTTTTATCATTATTATCATTATAATTATTATTATAATAATTATTATCATAATAATAATTGATTATCACCTCTATTTAAGCTCAAAATTTTCATAGAACAAGATGAAAGGACGACGCGTAAGAAAAAATATTTTTCGCGTGCATTCAAGCAGATACCCACGATTTCCTTTTAAAAATAATTTTATCATTTCTCGAGGATACCCCACACCATTAGTGACCCGTTTCTGGAAAAAAGACACTCGTACCAATTTCTTTGCACACATCCCAGCCAGGCAACAATAGTATGTATCACTACGCGCACCATTACAATAGAACAATTGGCGGAGGAGAAGACAAAAAAAATATGTGAGAAAATTTAGCTATCTTGGTCGTCCGAGCTTACACTATATGGAGCCAAAAGTTTGTAGATTTGTGTAATAGAGAGGTCCTACGAACAATTTCGTAAGCAACCCAACTCGGTCGGTTATTCAGAGACTGCTCCTGTATATAGACCTAGTCATATAGGCTAGATAAATTTAAAGACACGAGCGTAAGCATATTATCGATTGATAACTAAAATTCACGCGCTCTTCTGCCTGATTTCGTCACGATATAAAACCTAAATGGGTGATATTTTACTTTTCTGGAAAATCATGTGCATTATCAATTAATTTTTATTATCGGGTTCTCTTTTAGTGCAGCTTGCACTTCCTTCTACTTTATCTGTAGTAAATCTTGCCAGTATTGGTGAGATCTGAATTAAGGTTGGGAGTCATGTTAATGATGAGATTTTATAGCTGACTTATTTGATCATGCTTTTTTTCTAAAATGTGCACAGGAAATTTTCGAGGGAGAATTTGTGTTAATAAGTTTCGACCTAAGAGATGTTCGGTTTAAGAAATTTTCGACTTAAAAATTCTTAGCAAGAAAGTTCAATGGGCCCACCTAACCTAATTCTCAAATATCAATCGCGTGACACCAGCTGAGATGTGATATGAGAATTTGTGACTTGATGCATCCATAGTAAATTTTTTTGTTAGTAAGAGATGAATGAGCTGCTACCAACTGTAATGTGCATTGATCGTTGGTGTTAATTTGGTTAACGTATGTATTATTGATGCTCGTCATTCTTTTCTTGACAAGTTAATTAACATGGCAATACAATTTAAACAATAAACAGGCTACTCTTGCATATTCGATTGTATTTTTGATAGCCATTGTTTTATCTTGGAGAGGGATCGAGAAGACGAGAGAATTGAGCCACTTTTCCTAGCTACTCTCTCGATCTTGCCCGACTCTTTCGCTACACGTAACGAATACTGTTTCAAATTCCAGGAATTTTTTTTGAATGAAAGGATCTTTCTGGTAGGTATTGTATGATGATGACTATTGTTAATGCAAACGTATATGCGCATCGATTGCCAAATTCGAAAAATCTACAAGATCTTTCGTCTCGTTGTTGTCAATGTGACTCTCCTACCTACCTATTTACCTGTTATGCACAATGCTTACTGCGCATATACTCACCGCCAACATATACATATATCTATGTTCACTAGTGTAAAATGTATTCTAGAGGAATTCAATGTCTCGGTTTATCTTTTCTCTAATGTAGAATTTTTCGAGGAAAACTTTTCGTGTAACTATTTTATATAATATATATTGATTATTATTATTACTGGTACTGTACAGTATATTTTATGTTCAACTATATTATATTATATATAGTAATTCGAATATCTGGAGTTGATAATGTATAAGAATTATATAATCAATAAAAATAATCTAATAAATATAAATGAATATGATAAATATACACCCACTCATATTATATGATATGAACCACGACATACAGTTATACATAAAAATATTATTTTAAAGGCATGTTTGGACCGCCGACTTTTTTTTAAAAGAAACGCCAACATCTAAAAAAACCAACACACCACGGCGACGGCTATGTTGTTTGACGTCTATATCATAACTCTCGCTAATTAATTCTCTTTTATATATACAATTCTCACGTATTATCATATAAATATATATAAAAAACACAGTATTAAATAATAAGAAGATAATATATACATACATCATCATATCATCATAATAAAATAAATAATCAACATTTGCACTTTTATTAATTATTAATATTTAAAATAACGTTAATAAGAATTGATGATAATAATACCCCACACAAACTACAACCAAAACTACAACGAAACTTACAACAAACACACACACACAATCACTCCAATATATCCCGTGCCACGCTAAAGACGTCATCTAATCCATTTTTGGTTTTTTTAGAACATTTATAATCACCCATATTTCCACTTTGATTTTTTTTTCTGTTCTTTACCCACCACATTTTCCTTGCAGTCTTTTCACATCCTTTAATCTTCCCTCTCGTCTCCTTTCCTTCTCTCATCTTCAAACCTCTAACGATAATTGAATTATTATTATTATTATTATATTATAAACCTGTGAAGCAAATTTCTCCGTAAACTGCAACGACGCACCATACAAGAGATTTTTTAATCAACATCATCATCATCATCAACAAGAAGAATACAAAATGCTTCATTTTAAAAATATTAATTCAAGCATGAATGCAAACCAACCAAAGAAAAAGGTAAAATATTATTATTATATGAAAATTAGTCAAGTGTACATAATTCAATGACACAGAATTAACAAACCATTTTCATTGCTCTTTTTTGCTTAGGAATTTAAACCAGTCATTATCTTCCATAATGGATATGATTCAATCAATAACCAAGAATACGCAATACGCGTAAAAGAAATGTTATCAACAAATTGCCGGTGGTGGTTGTCAAGCACAAAAAGTAATTTCTCATTTTTTCTTTTTAGTCGCGCTTTATTGTTGTGTCTGTGATGTGTCATTAGTTATTCTTGTTGTTGTTGTTGTTGTTGTTGTTTGTTGTTGTTTGTTGTGACTAATAATTAATCATCGTTCTTATCATCATCTTTTTTATTATTTAGCATTTGTGGATGAAAAACAACAAAATAGTTACAATCCACAATCATTGCCTTCGCCGCCTAGATCTGATTCGATGGATCAATCACCAGAAAGTCCTCCCGCTTCAAAGCCATTGAAACGAAAAAGAGGCAATCTTCCCAAACAGACAACAGCGCTCCTGAAGAGCTGGCTAGCCGACCACAAAAAGCATCCTTATCCAACCGAGGATCAAAAATTATATTTAGTGCGTGAGACTGGCCTAACTCTCCAACAAATTTCAAATTGGTTTATAAACGCGCGAAGAAGACATTTGCCACTTTTACTAGAAAATGATTTCGCCAATGGTCAACCAATGAGAAATAGTCATGGATATCCACCATATGCTGAGATACCATCGGATCATTCAGGTAATTACCCCTCGATTCATTACTTTCTATAATAAGGACAATAGGTTGACGTGAACACGTGATTAATCCATATTTTGTTTTACGATCAACAGATAACTCCTCTGACATTTGTCAACAAAATCGAAAATGTACGCGAATTCAAAAGAATGGCCGTATTAAGAAGCTATATTCTCAATCAAAAAGAAAAAGTTCTCTCTAAGTCACACGCCTTCTTACAATTGCGCGTATTCTTCAACTAAAAAGCTATAATTCGTTACCTCCCATTGGCTTCTTATTTTTTTTAATATATTAAGTTGATAACTTTTACGCGCTTTCATTTTTCTTCGCTTTTCTTTTCTACTTTCCTCTTCGTTTTTTTCAATTCGCAACCATTCATTCAATTTGCATTATTCTCTTTCTCGGTTCTTTCTTCTTTTAATAGTTGTGCATATTCGTTATCAAAATTCTCCCATTTTATGCATTTCACTTCTAGCAAGCAAAAAGCAAACATTCCACTTTCATTTCAAGTTCATTTTTATGCAAACTTATTTTGGATGATGATGACGACGTTTCTCTTCCCAATATATAGTCTTTATTTATGCTTAAAATCCAAATGATAAAGGGTGTGTGTGCTACTCTTTGGAAAACAATCTCTATTATACACAAAAATCGAGAAACACCATCAAAAAATATCTATATATAAAAAACCTTAAAAAAATACGCGCCTAAGTTTTTGTAACACACACCCAAATACGCTTAGTGCGAAATCCCATATGCTTCTTTTTTTTTATGTTTGTAAGCACATTTTTTGAAGAAAACCATTTTCTCGATTTTTTTTAAACTCCAAAGAGAATTAAGTTTTAGTTATTATGTATATAGCAGATTTTTCCCAACACCCGATAAAATTTATTCCTTAACTCAATTTAGTTCCTTCGTCATCAGAAATGTATATACAAGCATAAATATACAAAGTTTGCTTAGTATTCCAGTCCTTTTCAGTACGAAGTGTTCGCTTTGTTTCTTCTAGAAAGTGGAAAAATTTTATATTCTTTCGCGCGTCATTCTATTTTTTAATTTTCTTATTGTTCTCTTGTAATTTTATAATAATAATAATAATTCATCCTCACACACCACTTCTATATAATCGCCTTTTTTTTAAATATTACGTAAATTAATATAATCTATATTACAAATACTATATACATATCCACATATTTAATT